TTTCTAAACACAATTTTGTCGCCATACCCTGGGTCCTTTCCTATTGAAATACCTTTGAATCGGTGCTTCTACGTGAAAAGTAATTTCTAGATTCATCGAATTCTACAGGCATATAAATTCTGGAGGTACAGTTCGAAATGTCTGCTAAACTCTAAAAACCTCTTGACAAAATGGAGATATTGTGGTATACCCACTTATTGAAAAGCACGATATCGGGTAACCAGACTTTATCCGGTGTGACTCGTATCTCTCTAATCTCACCGTAATCCACTGGATTCCAGCGCATTTGGAAATCGTGCCATTTCTGAAGATGGAATCAATCAATCGATCAACGAGTGAGCTACAGTGGCGTCGGACTCACCAACGTCAGCCACACATTTGTATGCATCACCTGGTTCTTCTCATCCTGAAATTGTTTTTTTTTTCTATCTAACCCATCTTTTCATCGTGATTTTTTCCGATATAGTTCTCGGCTTTTTGTAAGGGGGGGGGGAGAAGGATGGAAGTTAGTACTGTACCGTATAGTGCCAGCTTTAGGGAATCATTTAGCACCAGGCTCAGCTCCAAAGGAGGCTATTCACCCTCGACCACCGCGAGCTTAGAAGGTGGAGATCGCTGTGAATAGGGCAGTCAGAGTGGTTTAACAAAGGTAGGTGGGGCGAGGGAGAAGCTGCAGCTCGGCCAGAGCTCCCTCGGCGCGTAGCTCATCCCGCGCAGATAAGGAGGATTACTGGGTCAGATCGCTCCCGTTGAGCGGCCTGGTTCAACGGCACAAAACTCTGAGCACGGTGATTTTGGCCTGCTCCCCAACCCCGTCTGGACAAACCCCACCTCTTTCGAGTGCGGTCCACTCCTATAGGCTCAGCATGGTCGGAATTACACAAAGGCGGTGCAATAAAAAGGACAAAATTTTGATGAAGATCGACAAGCGCTCACTACGTTTATAAGTAAGACAAGCTGCAGTGCGACCTTCACGATGATTGGCATGTCGCTGGCATTTCTGATGGGCTGTAAATAAAATAAAAGTGCTTGTCGATATTGATCAGAAGTGCAAAAGGAGCCCACTTGGATGAGTGAATTGTAGCCACGAAATACGTCCACCATAAGCCGTTCCTCATCGTCGGATGTGAACACTGAACTGCGTAGACGTTCTTAGTTTGCTTTCTAGATATCACAACATAACTTCATAGCCATTTACTAGATCAAGCAACACCGATTTTTGGGTGAAGGTAGCGCAGTGGCTATAAGCGCCCGAAATTATTCACAGTGGAAGGGGTCAGACCTACCTATCCAAAACAGTTTAGCGATCTATGCCGACTGGGGGGACACAAGGGTGGGTAATAAATTCCTCACAACGAGTGAAAAATTGTCTACGGAAAAGCATAACCCACCAAAGCTGGTTCATATCAGCTGATCACAATACACTTCTTATTCTTCACATCAAAATTTAATAACCAGCATTTAATAAAACAAAACAAAAAAGAATTACTGTCTACATTCAAACGTAAACCTAAAGACACGGGTCGCGATCGAAATGGGTGTGTTTTTCGAGAAGAAATGAGGAAGGAAAGGTTAGTAAAAAGCTCGACGGAGAGACAAAGGGCTGCGATGACAGGGGAAACGTCATCGCAGCCCTTTGCCTCTCCGTCGAGCGTCGTGAGAGAGTACTTCGTACGAGATGGCATAGACGCCACATCTACAAACGATAGGAGTCGCAGCGGTTGCATTGGCCAAGCAAAGGCATCAAGTACCTTTTCGCGCACTCCGAAGCACCAATAGTATCATCTCCCCTGTGGTTAGGGTGTCTGCCACTTCACTGAAGACGAGTGCGATTTAGTCACAACTCTAGTCCTAACAATCTTAGCTCATTGCAAGCGAGCTACTTATTTTCTGTATACTAAGAAAAGCACTCGATGATCACCGCATTATGTTATAGGATACGTACAGTTAAGCCCACTTTCATGCGCAATTCTCTATTATGTCCCCCCGGACGCCTAGCAGATCAGTTCAGATTGGACTCCAAATGAATAATGAACAGGAAGCTTTACCAGACTGGAGCGGAGTTCATCTATGAAGAGACGCCTCTTGTTGCTGCATCATCTCGCCTTTCTATGTGAAGACATCCAAAAACACCTACCTTCGAGAGTAAGGACGGCAAGCACTGCAGAGGTGAGTGGTCTGAGCTGCATCTTGAGGGAAACGAATGCACTCCTCTCAGCTGGAAGTGGAAGAAAACTGGCAATCTACATACTTCTCAAGATTACAAGGCTGATTCGCGAGAAAAAAACCAAACATGTCCCAGTGATTTCACAGTAACCTTCAAAAGGCCCATACAAGGCAAAAAAGCACCAATCTTTGGTGCAACATGCGTGACACCAAGAGCGGTGAGGAGCTCCCAGCTGGTATCAACGCGAGTGAGAAGCAAATAAAAAGATCGAAAGGTTTCAAGTTTTGCTAGAAAGACACAAGAAGAGGATGCTCATGGTAGAGCACACTTTCGCAGGAGGTCCGTCGAAGGGGCATGTAGGCAACATAAGTTTAACGGTAGAGCTATGAAAGGCGGAATGAAAAAGAAAACATCTGCCTCGCATCACATAAATAGAATTAATTAGTAGCAGGAGCACTTGACGGACCTGTGCTTTCAACACTGTACCAGTATTCCCGTCCGAAGCCAAACTTCTGGTCTCAGACCCATCGACTGGGAGGGGAAGGAGGGTAAAAAGTAGGAACTCCGAAATATTTTAGAATCTCTTCAAACGTTTTGTTGCACGGATCTCGCATCTCATCCATCACCATTCAAGCTACATAAGACTCTTCTTCCGTTTCCAGCACTGTAATCTCCTCGGAGCATAGTTCTCCTGTCCCATTCGGAAGAGGACGTCCGATAGTATAACAGTGACTACTCTTTTGTCATATCAATTGGTTTTCCCCCAAGTTTTTCTTCGAACGATAACTACCCGAAAGTCGTGAGTTTACATGTTAAGGTTCTGAATCTAGCTCGCACCGGTTACGGCTGGCTTTTACACACAAATACTCCTACATCAAACCATGCACCGATGTGACAAGCTATAAAGTTAACGACTAGTACATAACCTGCTCACGAGCCAGGTGCAAAATCACCTAACAAAAAGTGCGAGACTAGACTGAAAACGTTTGACTTTTCCACTAAACAGCTTCTGCAGCTTCTCTCACACCCCTCTAATCTGTTTATCTAGGTCAAGTGAAAGCTGCTAAGGAAAAAGAATCCGGTGCAAAAAAATCCGGCCCTTGGATTCCAAGTTTCTCAGCGCACAATTGCTCCAAATTGTTAAAAAGCTGATGATATCAAATTGTACAAAGTTGTTGAAAGTAAATCTGATTGTGACATGCTACAGGCAGCTATTGATCATATTGTGGATTGGTCTGAGAAATGGAGTTTACCTTTGGCTCCAGAAAAAACTAAGGTATTCTGCATCGGTAATGATGTTATCACTCATAGCTACAAAATTGGTTCAGTTCACTTAGAGTCTGTTAATGAAATTAGACCTTTGTTTTGCGTTCTCGAGCTTTGATACACACTACAAGTCATTGGTTACTAAAGCAAACAATAGAGTTTTCAATTTATTCAAAGCGCTCCAGACGAAAGATTCAACAGTATTACTGAAAGCTTATAAAGCCTATGTAAGACCAATAGTTGAATCTGGTACTGCTGTATTCTCTCCCTATAAGAAAAAGGATATTGTTTTGCTAGAACGTGTACAGAATAACTTCACTCGAAAGCTTACCCTTCGTTGCTCTGGAACTCAGTTATGAAGTCTTTACCAAGTGCAGGTGAAAGGCGTCGATATTCGCCTTGACGTCTTTAGTTAAAAGAAGATTAGTCAATGATCTCATAATGGCTTTCAAAATTCTGACTAGAAAGTAGCTCTTAATCCCACAGACTTTTTCACTTTGTGCGATCTAGGACTAGGGGTAGTACCATAAAAATAAGACGTCCTGTAGTGAGATCCCAGGTCAGAGCGAAATTCTTTGC